TTGAAGTACAAAATACTCGCTCACCATGTCATAATTGTCCTTAGGTTTCCAAGCACTATACATGACACATGACTGGCAAGCGCTGGCGTAACATGGCTGACTGCGCATAGTGGTATAAACAGACTACATAATTGTATTAAACGTACATTCACGGAAAATCTCTTTTGGAATTTCATTTACATTATCTCATGTGGATTATTATGGGACCACGTATGCACATTTCGTAAATTATTTACACCATCCCGGGTAAAAGACGCCTCATCACTGAATAAAATGACGCTTAACAGTTCAGGATGAGCTTTTATCCAGTGGCACAAATCCATACGCTGAGCATGATCGCCTGGTTCCAGATGTTGTACCCTTTGATCATGGTAAGGATATAACTCTTCAGCATGTAAAGTTCGCCAAACCTGCATACGTGATACTCAAATGCGAGAGGCCATTCTACAAGTGGACAGACGCGGACTTCTCTGAACCATCTCAGTAACGTTCTCTCGTGTGTTTATCATTCGTACATCCTCCCTTTCAGAGTGCACAGAAACACTCGGAAGAGAACCAGTATCACGCAATGTCTGGTGAATTTGCGGAAATACACTTCGACATTTAATCCTTCGATCGGGAAAACGCCTTTGATATTCTTCAACAGCAGCATGTGCATTGCCACTGCAAAATCCACACACAAAATGCATATCACAATATTCCACATTTGAAAACACAAAAGGCATTTCAGCAACTCCGCACAATTAACCTACAACCCATTCAAAACGCGGCCGCAACTTGTACTGAAGGGAGCTTACGGCTAGTGTGAATCACCACACTCAAGGACAAACATATGATGGGGTACCCAAAAGAAACCGAACTAATTTTTTGTGGGCAGAGCTTTTGTAGTACCGCGTTTTGCCGCTATGAGCGCATAGAGCTAACATTCCTGAGTCGATAAGCCGACTACCGTTGCTTCTGAAGGTAAGGACTAGTTTCGGCAGAGTTTATAGTGACAGCTCTTTTGTGTGATCGTCGTTTTTGCAATGGCCCGAACTCATGAAAATGTTGAAAAAATTCGTGAAATCATCAAGGAAGATCGACGACGGACCATTGAAGAAATTGTGGAGCTGTCGGGAGTGACTTGGAGCTCAGTTCAGCGAATTTTGACAGAAGATTTGGGAATGAAAAGGGTGGCTGCGAAATTCGTGCCACGACTGCTGACTGCTGAACAAAAACAAGGTCGCGTGGAAGCATGCTGTGCTTTGAAAGAAGAGTCCCGAAATGATCAAAACTTTTTTTCAGCGTTTTGCTGATGTTGCTGAGGTGAAGGAAAAAAACGACGGAGGCGCTGTCAAGCATCTCAAAAGATGAATTTAGACAATGTTTTGAAAAATGGAATAAAAGACTAGACAAGTGTATTAGTGTAAGTGGAGAGTACTTTGAAGGGGATTGAAGGTTTGTGCTTAAAATTTGAATAAATAAGTTTAAAAAAAATAAGTTCGGTTTCTTTTGGGTACCCCCTCGTAGATAAGACATGCCAGCTGACAGGTACAGTACGTGGACTCGCCAGAAGACCAAACTTTTCTCGGGCCATTATCTCCATAACCGTTCAACTTTGGACATAGGTGTCTTGGGTTATATCGGCATACTATAACATAAGGAACACCCTCCCGAAGTTTGGCACATTCCTCCTGGGACAAACTGTATAGGGGCCAAATATGAGGCTTAACGAATTCAGAGGGAACAGTCTATTCTGTCGTACCTGGAGAAAATGTGAGATCATGCATATATGTTAATAATCATATTAATGCTTTACCATTGCTGGAGTTTTGTTCCAGAGACACAACAACAGTGAGGATGACATACACATTGGGCGGGGGCCGTGAGGAGCTCATTGTCACTTCAGCCTACCTTCCATATGACTTGGATGAACCACCAGCTTCCAAAGAAGTGAGGGACATCGTTGAATATTGCTATCTTAGGGAAAAGCAGCTCATCATTGGGTGTGACACCAACATGCACCATACAATGTGGGGGAGCACTGACGTCAACCCAAGAGGAGAATGCCTTATGGAATATTTGGTGAGTTCAAACCTTATATTCTAACCCAAGATAATGAGCCTATGGCTGCGCCATAGCTCAAGCGGTTAGTCACTGGCTTCCCACCACGGCGGCCCGGGTTTGATCCCGGGTCTGCTGAAGTGGGATTTGTGGTGAACAAAGTGGCGCTGGGGCAGGTTTCCTCTGAGTACTTCGGTTTCCCCTTCCAATCTTCGTTCCACCAATTGCTCCACAATTACCCTCACCTATCATCTGGGGCTGGTCCAATAGGCCAGAAGTGGCCACAGTACATAAGACTTAGTCCCACTCCACTAGAAATAAAAAAAAATAACGAGCCTAGTTAGTTAGTTATTAGAGAGAGTGGGGTTTCCCCATGCACTTAGACCTATAGTGGTCCCTCTATGATTTCTACCAGCCTCTATATCCTACCGGTATTGGTGCTTGTCATCAGTCCCACCCAGCCAGCGAGACCGGCTCTACTGGCTGATAAGTATCTATAATGCTTCCCCCATCTACCGGAGGTATTAGTGACTGCTGTTTGGCGGCAAACGTCCGCAATTTTGCTCAGTGACCTCCTTTGGAGGTATGAGGTTCTTTTACGTGCCGTAAAGCTACGACACGGGACCCATGGCTTAAAATCCCTCCCGGAGGACTTGTTCCCTGAATTTTTCCGCCCTTAAAAATTCGACGACCTCCGCCGGGTATTTGAACCCGCGTACTACGAGTCATGAGGTGGGAACGTTACCTCTAGACTATGGAGGCCGCTTAACGAGCCTACCTTTGTGGTTTGCAATAGGCAGGAGGTTATAGACTTGACACTAGGGACAAACAAAAGAGGAAACCTGATAACTAATTGGCATGTATCTGATGAGCCGTCTCTATTGGATCACAGATATATATGCTTTAAAATAAGTAACATCATAGTAGATCAAAGTACTTATAGGAACCCTAAGAGAACAAATTGGGAGTCTTATAAAGATGACCTAAAGCTAAATCTAGAGGCCATTCCGCGTAATATATGCACAATAAAGGATGTTGATCAGTCTGTTGACCAGTTGCAACAGGCTATTATCTCGTCCTTTAATCAGAATTGTCCGGCTAGGACCACTCGTGGACCAAGGAGAGTGCCTTCATGGCATAAACAGCTGAGTGGGCTTAGAACCAAAACAAGAAGGCTGTTTAATACAGCTAAAAGAACAGGTCAATGGGACACCTACAAGGAAGCCCTTACCTGTTACAACAAAGAAATAAGGGAAGCCAAGCGATCCTCATGGAGAAGACACTGCCAGGAGATCAATGATATACCAGGCGGTGCCAGGCTCATGAGGATCATGGCAAAACAGGCAACCAACAAGGTCAGCACAATTAAGCTGCCTAACGGACAGTATACTCAAACAGGAAGGGAAACGCTGAATGAATTATTCAGCGTCCACTTTCCTGATTCAAAATTGATTGACAGTTTGGACGATGGGCNTTTGTTATCTTAAAAACCAGGATGATGGATAAAGTCCAAAAACCCAATATATCAGTGTGTTATACACCATCGTCAGAATCCTATAGTAACTAATTTAAATCAGCAGGAACAGATGGAATTGTACCGGCACTTTTGCAGCATGGGGCAGAACTTTTAGTTCAACACCTATGCTGCATATATAGAGCCTGCATGGCATACGGTTTTATCCCCACGGCCTGGAGGCAAGTTAAGGTGATGTTTATCCCAAAGCCTAGGAAACTTGATTACACTGAGGCTTATCGTCCTATCAGCCTGTCGTCTTTCCTTTTGAAAATGATGGAGAAAACAGTAGATAGGCATATCAGGGACGGGGCGTTGAGGACATATCCTCCACACTGAAACCAGCATGCCTACTAAACAGGTAAATCTACAGAAAGCACACTACACAATGTGGTAACACACATAGAAAGTGCGATCGAACACAAGGATATTGCCATAGGAGCATTCTTGATACAAAGGCAGCTTTCAATAGAACCTCATTTGATATAATCAAACAGGCCACTGGAAAGCATGCCATAGAGCCTGCAATATGCGGGTAGATCAGTGCTATGCTGGAAAGCAGAACCATAGATGCCACACTATCAGGAGAGACCCTGGAGGCATCCGCGCCTAGGGGGTGTCCACAGGGGGGCAGGCTCTCGCCTCTGCTGTGGAGCCTGGTCATTGACAATCTCCTGTGGGGACTTAATGATGATAATTATTATAATGTAACGTGTCTGGAATCCAGAAGTCACTTCTATGGAAACGCTAGAACAGACCGTTGCATAAGAAGTAACAATAGTGATACTGTAATTCCAACAGTGAGCTGTTGTATCGAGAACATCGAATCTCCACGGTAACGACAAACAAAGCAACGTCTCCATGGTTACAACAGAAGGTTCATTTGCCTAGCAGCGGCGAGGGTATAAATAGGCCAGCTTCGATGAGAAGCCTTGAGTCTCGGATCGCCCGTCTAAGAAGTCAGTTCGGAATATCCGTCTGGGTCCAGTAT